GAAACACTGGAGGAAATACTGAACATTGGATGGCACCCTGTATACAGGGATGGGCTACTGGGGATTCAGGCAATCCTCTAGCTTGGATTCTGCTCAGTTCAGCAAACCCCCAAATGCCACCAATGGCTGGCCATGCCCACCCGACCCCGACCCCGCCCACCCCTCCCCTCCCAGGAGTCTCCACATGGCCTGTTCATCATGCCAGATAAGTGTAGGGACCACCCGGAGACTCACGGAAAATGGGCCTAACAGAGCAGAGGTGGGTTCTAGCTGGTGTTACTGCCGGTTTGCTCATGTGTATGCTTTGCGCAAACGCACTGGATGCGCGCTGTGCACACATGCAGTTCAATGGAAATTGTTCTGAGCATGCGCAGAACTCCAAATAAAGATGGTGGCGGGGGCTGAGACCAGGAAAGCGATCAGGGGCATGGCCAGCCTGGGCTGCTGGTGGTTCTGCGATCCAGGCCAGCATACCACTACTAGTTTGGCCATAACAGACTGAACAGGTAGCAACCCACCTCTATACAGGAGGTTCCGGAAGCACAGAAACGATCCTGTTTCTGGCCTCTGGAGGTCAGGGGAAGCAGTTTTCAACCTCCCGGAGGCTCAAAAAAAACCATTGGAGCCTGGGGAGGGTGAAAAATACACCCCCTGCCGTGGTACAGGAGGCTGACTAGGTGACCCCCCCCACCATGGCCATGCACACCCAGCAACAGGGCAGCGAACCCTGCAATTTTTGAAGCCTACCCCTGCCTGTATGCTCATGACATTCTTAGGCTGAATATAGTATTAAGAGCATGCATTTGCCCAACATATCATACTTGTCTAAACTTAATCATGTTTTATTTTGTGTTGGTGTGGCTGTCCTTGTCCAGACTTGTCCATTTGAATCAGTGTCCTGTATCACTCTTAGCTAACACAAGTTAGCAAAATTAAGTGTATTCTGCAAAGCTTGCCCCCCCCCCCCTTTGACAATTAGACTTTTTCATTGATACCACCAGTGGTAGATTTCCTCCCCCCCTTTTTTTTTTACTACCGGTTTGCTCGTGCTTGCATGCATGTGGGTAGGCAGTGCCTCCTGCCACCACCACTACTGGTTCGCCCAATCTAGCTGAACCGGCAGAAACCCACCTCTGCATACCACGTTGCTTTCAGAAATCCTTTACTCCCCTTCCCTACTTCAAAAACAAGTCAGGCACAATTAGGTTACATTTTTTTATTTATTTATCTGAATAATGTAATAATATGGTTGTCAGTTAATACTATACATTGTTCATGAAAAGGATCCCCATGATATCTTGCAGCTTAAGTCAATTACCTTATTTCAGAACATCTTTGAAAAACCAAACACATAGAGCAAAACAAGAGAGAAATAATCTTTTTCCAGGGAAAAATCAAACAGATTTGCAAGCCAGAATATCTCTGCAAAAGGAATGGGGCTTAATGCATTTGTCCAAAGTCCTATTTCTTTCTGCTGAATTTCTTTCTATGCAGGTATGAAGCAGGTGGTTATAATAGGTAAAGATCAATGGTCAGGGAGAAAACAGACCCCTTTGTTTACGCAGGCCTTTGAAAATAGCAAAATCCTCCACTAAGTATTAACAAGAGAGTAAATAGCGCCAGTCCCATGCAATTGTAGGGTCAGGGTTCTTTCCCACCCCCCACTCCCCCCGTCTGCTCAGAACAAGTTTTTTTTAACTAAATTTAAACTAACGTCTTTGCTCCCAACTTTAGTCTTCTTTCTCCTGCATTATCTTTGCAGGGAATTTCAGCCTTTGTCCAATATTTACATCTTTCATGAATCTTTGTTATTTACGCAGGTTTGGGTTTGTTACCTTTTTTCTTCCTGAGTCTTCTTGCACTCATCAAGTCCCCAATTCTTTCAGTCAGATATGCATTCATTCCTCTTGTGTTCATTTCAATATTAAATTCACCATTTTTCTTCAACTCTTGTCTCTTTTTATTTTGACCCAAGGAAAAAATGGCTTTTGTATCAGAGTAGTCAAAAGAGTTCATACAACAGCCAGTTCTCAGTGCCATTTTCTGTTATTTAATTTGTCTGCTTCTTGATCTGTTCTTGTAGCCTCATACTCTTTATACATCTGCCTAAGCAGACCCAAAGCAATATGCTGATTGAGACAAAGGATACGTATTTATTTATTTGTGTATTTCAATGGAAGGGACATTCAACTCCAGGTCACTCTGAGCAGCTTACATTTTTTTAAAAATAAGAAAACCATATAACAAGGGGGTGGTGGAAATGTACATTCAGAAAAATAATATATCAAGGAAACAACTGTCAGAGGGTCTACACCTACCTTACCTTTAAAAATATTTTGGAATGTCGTCAGAATGAGAGCCTTAGAGATTTCTTGATGGGATGCTGTTCCAGAGGATAGGTATTGCAATAGAGAAGACATACTTCCTAGGTTTCCACACTGCTTAATTAAAGGGATTTGGAATGCATCATCTCTGCCTAATCTCATTGGGTGAATAGAAATGGTCAGAACAGGCCTGTAGACGTTCTCAGTCATCCAGGCCATGGTTGTTCCGAAGGAACTTTTTCAGGAGGCAATTGGGCTTTCTTGTTTTTACTTTTGAACAATGGTGAAATTCATTTTTTTTTTACTACTGGTTCTGTGGGCATGGCTTGGTGGGTTTGGCAAGGGAAGGATATTGCAAAATCTCCATTTCCGTCCCACTCTGGGGCCAGCCAGAGATGCTATTTGCCGGTTCTCCAAACTACTCAAAATTTCCGCTACCAGTTCTCTAGAAGTCAGAACCTGTTGAATTTCACCCCTGCTCTTGAAAACATTTCACTTCCTATCCAAGAAGCTTCTTCAGCTTCCCCACTATCCTGTCATAGCTGACTAAGCTTTTTGGGTGAGAAGTGAAACGTCTTCAAAAAAAAAAAAACTAGGAAGTCCAGGTGCCTCTTGAAAAAGCACTTTTGGGATATCTCAGAACAGGCAATTCATCAAATAATCAGGCCAATAATCAGCACCTTGAATTATACTTAGAAACAGACTGGGAACCAGTGCAGCTCATGCAGCAGCAATGATAAATGCTGAACATCACTGCCTGCACTGCTGCATTCTGGAACAGTTTTAACTTCCAATTGGTCTTCCAAGGCAGACTCGCATGCATCGTATATTGCAGTAGTCCATTCATGAACTCTCCAAGGCCTAAGTGAGCATCTAAACACCCCCCCCCCAAATCCAGGTACAGCTGCAACTTGTGCAACAGATGAATCTGTATAAATCCCCCCTCAACCCCTTGGCCACAGCTTGCTACCTGCTCTTCGAATAAGAGCTATGGATCCAGGATGAGCCTCAAGTTACCTACAGTCTAAAAGGGGGAAGTATTATCTCATGTAAAACTAAAGATGGAAACTCCCCAGATCAAGGGTGGGGGGGGGGAATATATGTAAATAGTCCATTTTGTCTTGTCAGGATTGAATCAATTTGTTCCTCCCCTCGAGACCTGAACAACCTCTAGACACTGGGACAGGACATTGACAGCATCATCTGGATGGTCTGAGATCAAGATGGGTATCCTCTGGTGATGCTGCCAGATGACATCATCTGGCAGCTCCGTATAGTTGCTAAATAAGAGGGAAGAAGCATCAAGCTCTGACATACCTTAGAAACAAAGAGCTGCAACATCCCCTTCCCAAACACTGACTAGAGCTGACCCCTGGGAAAGAGGAGAACCACTATAAAAGGATGCCGTTCCTTCCCCAAACTCTGCAGCTGGTCCAGAAGGATAATGCAATCATTGGTATTGAAGCCACGGAGAGGTCAAGAGCATTATTCCCATCCCCACTCCCCCAACTGTCATCAGCAAGCACAACCAATGCTGTCTCTGTATTGTTCTATACTATACTCTATTGTACTATACTATACAGGTCAAACTCAAGGCCCGCAGACCGAATTCAGCTCATGGGGTACTTAGATCTGGTCTGCAGGGTCTCCTTGGAAACAGTGAAGGACTGGGCCACGGTACCTCTGCCAGTGAAAACGGGGTCTGAGGGGACAGCACATACCCCCGGCTCTGTTTTCACTGGCAGAAGGCTAACAAAACAAACTAAAAGCAAAATAAAACAAAAGGATAAATGTTTCCCCTTTTGCATTTGAGCATCCAAGGGACAGGAAAGGGGAAAGGGAAAGAAAAAGAAAAAGAAGGAAAGATGTGAAGAGAGCAAGGAAGTAAAAAATCAGGAAAGAGGGGAAGGGAGAAGAAAGAAAGCAAGGAAGGAAATACAAGAAAAGGAAGGAAGGAAGGAAGGAAGGAAGGAAGGAAGGAAGGAAGGAAGGAAGGAAGGGTTATATGAGGGGGAGGGAGGATCTGAGGGAAGTCCTGCCTTAGCACTTGCTGACCACAGGTGCCCCTGACACAAATGACGTTGAGCTGGCCATGCCCACTCCAACCCCCCAAAGTCAAACACAACCCTGATGCAGCCCTCAATGAAATCGAGTTTGACACCTCTGCTATACAGCACGAAACCCGACTTAAATGGATCCAAATAATCTGTTTCCTGCAAGATCTTCTGCTGCAGATGCCTAGCCTCTTTTCATTATGGTAACATTCTATTCAAAAGTCCATTGGTTGGAAACTTAACTCATACTTCATCATCTCTGACAGGCCCGCTTATGAGGACATCCAAGTGGTTTAGAAGCCCAAGGCACACCTTGTGTCTCACAGTGCAGTCTTCCAAGAGAAGGAACAGCCTGAACTCTTTGAAAGGACAACAGGAAAAAGGAGAAGACCACTACTTTGGCCTAATTACAGTATCTCATTCTCCAGATGGCAAAGCCATTACCATGGTATTTCTATTCTTCTTCATCTACCTCTTTATTTTTTACCTCCACATGTTATGCACTGTTAACTTATCCATACATTTGTCCTAAACCTGCCCTTGTTTGTTCAGCTGCCCCACTTGTTCCTGCATTCCACTTGTGTTTGCTGACGTGTTCATCTCATTTGAAAAGATTTGTTCATTCTTTCACATATCCCTTTATTTGTTCACATTTCCTCAGCCACTCACATTACTCATTATACTTCTATACCCACACATACACGCACATATACCACATGCACCAACATTCCAGAATTGCCAGATATCATAGCTGAACCCAAACTGATAAGGTTGTCCTATCTTCCTGTTCCAGAAGTCAATAATGCCTGTCCTAGTTTGGGTCATGCAATATCTGGCAAATTTCATCACCATCCCACCGCTACAACTGCTCATACATAATCCCGCTTGTCAATCGTACTGCCTGGTGGAGCAGTAGATCTGGCTGGAACAGAGTATGCAATACGGCCTGGGTAGCGGTTGTCCCGTGGTGGGCAGGAGCAGCACAGGAGTGATCCTCCAAGGAGTAGTAAGGCCGAAGCTGCCCAACCAACATAGAGAGCAGCCCCCAGTTCCCTTTTGAGAGGTTCAGCCACAATTGGATTGTAAAAGTCACGGATGATGGAGTTGGCAGACCAGCAGACAGGAATAAGTGTGAGAAGTCCTGAGACGATAAAGAAGGCACCCGAGGTAATGACAATACGTGCCTTGGCACCTTCTTCTTCCACGCAGTTGGTACACTTGGCTCCAACAATACTCACCAACAATGCCAGGATAGCAAGCACCACAGAGATAACCATGAGGGCCCGGGCAGCTTGGATATCTTGAGGCAGGGCTAGCAACGAATCATAGATCTTACACTGCATCTGGCCAGTACTCTGTACAACACAATTCATCCACAGTCCCTCCCAGATTGTCTGCGCCACAACAATGTTGCTTCCGATGAATGCTGAAACCTTCCACATGGGCAAGGCACATGAAAGGATGGTCCCCAACCAGCCAAAGATACAGAGGCCCATTGCCATGATCTCTAGCCCTGCAGATGCCATTATGGGTATCCTTCACCTTGGCTACAAAATGCACACCTCTTTTTTCTTTCTTTCTTTCTTTCTTCTGCTGCCTTCCGTGAGGACCGAAGATGGTGGTTTATGGACAGCGACGCCACACTGTTCTGAACAGAAATCAATGAAGACAAGAATTCCAAAAAGACACCCTCTAAATGGTGGTATGCAATGTCAGACGTCTATGTTCTCGCCCTGAAAGCAAACGCCTAATAAATAAATCCTAAAAGAATATTGCACTGAGGTGGCTATCCAAGACAAAGAAACCTACGGAGCTTTTCGGCAAAATTAAGTCTCTCTAGTAGATTAGCGAGCAGAACTGTTACAAAAGAGGCCTTCTTGGGTTACCTGCATATGGAAAGCAGCCTCGAAGGTGGAAATCTATAGCTTCCGAGAGTCTGTTTTTGATGTAGGGTCATCCAGAAATAACTGCCTGTGGTGTGTCACTTTAGGAGCTGGGTTGGAGAAAGGTAGACCAAAGTCTGAAAGGTAAAGAACCCCTAAAGGGGAAATAAGGATAAATCCAGTGCTATCTTTTCTCTGTGGCTCCAACAACCTGCTTGTTATTGCATTGTTCTGCTTCACAGGTACCTGTTGTCTAGAAGGATCCCAAGGGAGCTTGAGCTTAGGGACAGAGAGGGGCGGGTTATATGAACCCCCAACAGGTGGCTGGGAGGGGCACCAGACCAATCTGAGAAGGGCATTGGGGGATCCATGGTAACCAAGACCTGGGTGGTGATGTTATGGAGAGAGTTTGAATATTTCTTTATTTTCTGCTGGCTAGTTGGGAAGCTGCCCATTCCAGAGGAGAAAGAGGGGGGAGAGGAAGCGGCCGAGAAAAACAAGCAAGGGTGGAAAGGGAGGGAGGGAGGAGGAAAGACAGGGAGCTATAGAGGGAGTTATTGTGGTCAAATTCTTCTAGAAAAGGTTTTTTTTAAAAAATAGAAACTTTTAGATATTAATTAGGCCGACCAGGTATAATGCCAGAGTTACATAGACGTGTCACATCTACTATATAAATTAACTGAAAGCTTTCACAAAGGTCCACATGCATGCATGTACACACAACCAACACAAAAACATCCCGTAATTTTTGTTACACAAATGCAACTCTCTTTAATAAATGCATCACAGAAGCTTTTGTGAAGTTCGTTTCGTAAGATAAAATATTATCTTGAGTTGCACTGAAAGAATAGACAGAACTACTATTGTTAACAGTGGTCGGTCACAAAATATTTGTTGGAGCAGCATAATCTGATATTAGTATTATATATTAATGTGCATAATAATATGATTAAAAACACCCACAACCTATTCAAACTAAAGAAGACAGAATTTGTTCTGATTATTTGTATTTTAATGGATTCAGTCCTGTTGTTAACTGTATGAGTTTGACCAAGTCGCTTTTAGTTCAATATGTTGGGAGAACCGAGTCAATGTTGGTTAAATAATAAATGTTATGTACTAATCCAGTCCTTGGGACTTACAGATGTGCTTATCCATGTTGTGATTAGGGTTACTTTAGCACCCAAACCCGGTTAAAAAGTTGTGACTCTAGATGAGTTCTTTAGCTTCAGTGTGAAACCAGAATTGCAATTGATCTAAATCTTGGTATGCACAGTAATTCTCAATTTTTACCCATTTTAGCATGTATGGACTTCACTTCCCAGAATTCCCCAGTCCAGAATTCTGGGAATTGTGAAGTTCAAGTGTTTGTGTATGTGCTTGTGTGTCAGGGGTGGGTTGCTCCCGGCATTACTGCCATTTCAGTGTGCGCAAAAATCTCTTTGCTCACACGCACACCAGATGTGTGTGTTCCGTGCGCATCTGCATTTGCAGAAAAATAGGTCTGCTCATGAGCAAAAAAACCACATTTGTGCAGTTACAATTGTTCTGCACATGCGCAGAACCGAAAATCAAGACGGCGGCCCATAGGAGAACCAGTGCAGGGGCGTGGCAGGCTTGGATCGCTGCCTGTTCCAATGACCCAGGCTGCCAAACAACTACTGGTTCTGCCGAACCAGTCTGAACCATTAGGAACCCACTCCTGATGTCTATCTGTGAGAGAGGGAAGATGGATGAAATATCAATTTTAACTGCTTTTTCCTGCCTCAGGATGCAAAGCTAAGACATTAGAGTGGTCTCAAAATGAGATTACTCCACCCATGCCATCTCTGCTGCTTCTGCCTCCCAGAAATATGCAGAGAGAAGAAAAGGGGACACCAATATGATAAATGGATATAAATTATACATACTTTCCTATTACTCCTAGGTTTTTCAGCACTACAGCCATTAGCTGTTGAATTCTCCCACCTAAATTGACTAGAACAGAAACGAGCTTAAAAGTCCATTTCCAGATGTCAACCCCTTTCCCCTCTTTGGCCTGGTATTGTACCCCTACTAAGGGATTCCTCTGGTGCTTTACCTTTTCTACCTGTGCTGGGAAAGCAAGTGTTAATTGCTTTCCTTTTTTGTGGATAGGTCTTTCAGGACATGTGGACTTTAATCCACATTTCCTTCTGTTGACTTCATCTCATACATGAAACTTTTCTATCTGGTGAATCGATTGGTTAAAAAAAGGAGATGGGAACCACCATTTTCCAATTCTTCCTGTCCCTTGGGCTACAAAAAACTGGCAATATTGTTTCAAATAAAGATCCTAGTAGCATCTTTTCTGACCAATTTTATTGAAAGACTCTAACTTTCAAGAGCTGCAACTCATTTTATCAGATGCACTGAGCGCTAGACTGATGTAAGGTTTAAATTGGGATAAGGTATGGTGAGGGGTGTGTGTGGAAGCGAGGGGACAAGAGGTTAGTTGTGTAGATGCAGGTTATTTGTGAGACAGAGCATACATATCTTATCAACTAACACTTATAATGTGTTAAAAACCTTTTGTGTTTGTTGAAATCTTCTGAGATTGTCTAAAAACTTTGAGTCAGCAGTCTTTTGCTGACTGGTGGTGTTGGTCTCTCCCCCCCCCCCAAGATGGTCATTGTAAGGTCTGTCATAGAGGTTAAAAAGCTGTGATATTATTTTGTCCTTGTTTTGACTCCTGTTGTCAAACTTGTGTCCATTCATTCTTTTGCAAAAAGTGTGTCCCATTTGATTTATGTATAATCTGGGAGATCAGAATGAGCAAGTGTTGGTGATATATATATATAGAGAGAGAGGTGGTATTCAGCCAGTTCTCTCCAGTTCAGGCAAACCAGTAGTGGCGGCTATGGGAGGTTCTGCCCACCCGACCCGATGTAATGCGTGAGCACTGCGCATGCACAGAAGGCGGTGCACATGTGGAGACACGGCACATGCAAGCGAAGCATGGATGCACACTCACACTTGTGAACTGGTAGGAAAGGTACGTGAATCCCATCGCTGGTATAAATATGGCTCTTGAATTTTCCTGTGGCAAATTCCAATTTCCATGTTAGCATCACTATTCTGTTGTTTGTCATTCTTTGTGAGAATCTGCTTTGGACTGGACAATTGTCTGAATGCCAACTGGTGTCTGAAAAAGCGCGGTGTCATTGTCTAATATGGATTGTAGCTTATTAATAATGCATTTGAGTATTTTTAGCAGTTAGCTGGAAGAACCTGCAGTGGTCTGGCAGAACTGCTGTACATTTCACCTTGTTAAAAATCCACCATTTCATCAATGAACCGCCAAGGGAGAGAGGGAAGGAAAGAAATGATAGTGAGCATTAAAAAAAAAAAAGTTCCTGTATTTCACTGATCAAAATACCTTCAGAAGAGGGAAGACTCTAGTAACCCAGGGCAGGATGGCTGGGGAAAACAACAACAGCCAGTGACCAGAGGGAGGGGCTATGCTTGCCACAGCCAGCAGACAGTAGTTGGGAAAAAGGGGAAAAATGAAACAAAATGCAGCAGGCAACACGGGGAAGTGCCATCTGTCTTGGAACAAGCAGATAAAACTTTTCATATGTAGCAAAAAAAAAAAAAGTTGATAGAGCAGGGGTGAAATTCAGCAGGTTCTGACAGGTTCTGGAGAACTGGTAGCAGAAATTTTGAGTAGTTTGGAGAATTGGCAAATACCACCTCTGCCTTTCCCCAGAGTGGGGTGGGAATGGAGATTTTGCAGTATCCTTCCCTCAGGAATGGGGAGGGAATGGGGATTTTGCAGTATCCTTCCCTCAGGAATGGGGAGGGAATGGGTATTTTATAGAATCCTACCCCTGGAGTGGGGTGGGAATGGGGATTTTGCAGTATTCTTCCCCTGCCACACCCACCAAGCCACGCCCACTATAACAGAGCCTTTCCTCCCCAGTGGGTTTTGGGGGTGAGGATGGGGGAAGAAACAGGATGACGCCAAGCACTCCTGTCCTTGCAGGGTCAACTGGTCACACAGATCAGCCCTAATCCTAAATCTCCGTGAACACAAAGGGCTTATTTCTGAGTTAAGCATGTACCAGACTGTGTGGTATGTAAACTGTCACATCCCCGGATATGGCTCTTATAAGGCAAGCCTAAGACAGTCAAATAAAGTAATCCGGTAGTCTAATGGGAGTTTCCTATCTCCAGTTCAAAATGAGGCATGTTGCCCAAGACTGATAAGATGCTGAGCACACATAACTCTGAAAAGAGTTGATAAGGTGGCAACCGCAGTTGATAAATAGGAGATTATTGTTTGCCAGGCATAGCTGTAAAAGGAGTTGCCTTCTAACCCCAGGATGGCCTTTTTGTTTTCCTTGTGGAACAAATGAAAAAGAAATAGGGCTCCCTACAGTTAACCCATAGTACTTGTATGTACTATGTATGTTCCCTTTTGATTGTGAGCCGCCCTGAGTCCCCCCAGGGAAAAGGGCGGCATATAAATAAAAAAATAAAATAAAAAAAATACTATTCAAAGCGGCATTTGGATTTTTGCACTGGAAAATTCAAGAGCCATCAAAGTAATGGAGGAAATCTCAACTGAAGAGTTCAATATTTCAAGCACGAAAGCAATAAATATTTTTGTAACATTTTAACACTTAAAATCCTTAATTATCATCACCCTCATTATTATTATTATCTGTATTCTCTTCGTACACTAAATTTGAGATAATGTACTTGCCTCAATTATTCCAATTATCACTTCTTATCACCTTGTGAGATAGCTTAGACTAGAGAAGGTGATAATCTGAAGTCTCTCCTGTACTTTATAACAAAGAGGATGGGATTTTAATTTTGACTTGCCTTCCAAAGCTGACCATCGCAATATTGCCTTCGCAATTTGCTAAGTCCCAAGATTCCTTTATCACCGCAACAGACATACTGCCCAGGAGATTAAAGCATGGAGTTATCCAACATTACATCTGGGCAGCACTAGGTTACAGAAGTATTCTAAGCATAAATTACTACTGAAAATATCTTGCTCTGTCATTATTCACTGCAGCAAGCTATTCTGCCTTTCCACTGCAAAGTTTTAGAGCACTAGCAAAATAATGATCCTAAATTGCATTAACAGATGGATACAATCAAGATCAAGTGAGGTACTAATACCACTCTGTAAAGCCCTAAAAAAGCCATACCTAGAGTACTGCATCCAGTTTTGGTCACCACACTATAAAAAGATGTTGAGACT